TGACAAAGAAATGACATTAGATAATTTTTATAATTTTTTAAAAAATAGGCAATTGGATCACAAAAGAAGACTGAATGAAAACCTATTCCATCTAAAATACCCTGATAAATTAGGTCTATATAGAATGTGAGTTACTTATATTAACAAATACATGACAATATCACAATTTGTAAATTGATAAAATAGAAGAAAAGTTATCAAATGTAATACAAAAATAATTAAGTAATTCCAGCCTTTAAATTGTGGAGGAAAGCACTACCTGAATATTTTTAGTTAACTATCTTGGATTCAAATTACTTAACATCTTTGGACCTTAGTTTTTTTTTTTTTTTTTTTGAGGAAGATTGGCCCTGAGCTAACATCTGTTGCCAATCTTCCTCTTTTTTCTTTTTTCTCCCGAAAGCCCTCAGTACATAGTTATATATCCTAGTCGTAGGTCCTTCTAGTTCCTTTATGTGGGATGCCGCCTTAGCATGGCTTGATGAGCGGTGAGTAGGTCTGCACCCAGGATCCGAACCAGCGAACCCCGGGCCGCAAAAGCGGAATGCGTGAACTTAACTGCTGCACCACCAGGCCAGCCCCTAGTTTTCTTTTCTTATAAAGTGATATAGAGGCAGTTAGACCAGAGAATTTCTAAGATATTTTATAAATTGAAAGATGAACTTTACTCGTACTTAACAAACATCAATCTCATCCACAAGTAGCTTTCTTATCCACCCAGAGAGGCAGAGGTGTTGACAGTGCGGACGTGAAAGTCCGACTGGAGCTGCTCACAAGCTGAGTGGTCTTGGGCAAGTTACTTAGGGCCTTTAGGCCTGTTCTCTCATCTGTAAAGTGGAGGTAATTAAATGAGATAATGAACGTAAAGTGCTTAGCACAATGCAAGGCATATAGTGCTTAATGAATATAAGATATTATATTCATGAAAATCACCTAAATCTATCTCCGTTTCTGTCTCCTGCCTCCTATTTAAGAGAAAAAGATGACTCTCTCTGTCTGTACTGTGGAATCTATCACTTCTCTTACTCTGTTTCCACATTTCTCTCACCCCTGCCCCCATTTAAAAAAATTTTTTAAAAGAAAGGGACAATTTTTGATGTATCCATAACCTTTTAAAATAACTAAATTGAATTAATTTTTACTTAAACGTAGGCTTCTGTGAAAAAAAAAATCCCACTATAGTCTTAGTCAAAGAGGAAAGAGAATGGACACATTTATTTCTTAACTTGGCTTTAGTACTTATCTAGAACTGTATCCCCTTCTAAGCTACTTTTTACTTCTAATCCCTAAATGTGAAGTAAAAAAGCAAAAAACAAAAGCCAACCTCAAAAACCTTGGTTTTGAATATACTCCAGAGAGATGTCAGTAATTGAAAACCAAGAGGCAGTTATGACGTGGATATAAAGGTTGATATGGGGAAGGGATGATCATGAGAGAGTCATGATGGGGAAAGAGCTAATTCAGATCTCATTATACAAACCAAAGATCTAGAAGCTAGGTGATCTAGACAGGTGCCAAGGAATCAGTAGTTTATCTTACTCAAGAGCAAGCAGAAAATATTGGAGAAGTGGAGGAAGATAATAAAAATAAAGTGGAATAATTAGGTCTTGAATATAGAATTACATATAAAAGAATCTAACAGTCATGACCATATGGATAATATGAGAAGTGAAACAGACCTAAAAGGGTCTGTTTCTATGAAAGAGGTAGTTTATTTACAACCTATCTTAATACTTCCAAATTTCCTGCCTGGATAAAAAGTTGTCTCACTACCTAGAACCACAGGAATGACCCGTAAAGCATCTGCTCTCTCACTAGAGTCTCCTCCTGCTGCTTTCAGATCCTAATCCAGTTACGCTGATGAAAAGGACAGATCTTCATAGGGTCACATACTCAATGTGGATTTGCCAAGATGATCTGCCCAGTTTAATTGTATGAGATTAGGTGGAAGTATATGGATGAAGGTAACAAAAGTGATAGCAGAAATTGGGGGTATACGTATCTGTTGCCAATGGACAGATAAGGGATAAATAGTTTAATCAAAGGTTCATAATAACTCCATATTAAAATGGAGTTACTTCACCAAATGTAATGCATGGTCCTTGATTAAATCCTGGTTTGAACAAACCATCCATAAAACCATTTTGAAGCTACATGGGAAATTTAAATATGGACTGGGTATTAGATTGTGTTAAAAATTCCAGTTAATTTTGTTAGATGCAACAATGGTACTATGATTTGTAAAGAAAAGGTTCTTTAGAGATGCATACTGAAGTGTAAGCAAAAATATAAAAATAGATGAAAACAGTAAAATGTCAAAATTCTTTAAAAAAGTAAGTGATGAGGGGGCTGGCCCAGTGGCATAGTGGTTGGGTTCATGTACTCCGCTTTGGCAGCCCAGGGTTCGTGGGTTCGGATCCCGGGTGTGGACCTGCGCACAGCTCATCAAGCCATGCTGTGGCAGGCGTCCCACATAAAACAAAGGAAGATGGGCACAGATGTTACTTCAGGGACAATCTTCCTCAGCAAAAGGAGGAGAATTGGCAACAGATGTTAGCTTAGGGCTCATCTTCCTCACCAAAAAAAAAAAAAAGTAAGTGATGAGTATAATAGGCACATATTAGTCTCATTAATTTTCTGTAAGGATGCAATTTTTCATAATAAAAAGTAAAAAACAGTGTTACTGTTTTGGTTTGGTGGTCACTATAGTAAACTAGGCATTTCCCCTAGTGACTGGCCACCAGGATAGTTGTTTCACTTATCCCTTCTATAAAAATAGTATTACCTTAGTGAAGAATGATGTTTTATTTGCTCTAGGCAATATTTATAAATTTGGACAATATCATCATGTTCATAACACCATCATGTCCCTAAATTCCTCTGCTCTTCTATTCTTTGTTGCACCCACTTAACAAAATCCTAAGTCTAGAATAACAAACTAGCTACCTTCTCCATGTCTACACTCTGATGAATACTCCTGTAGAAAAACCATACAAGTGGCATCTTCGTGTGATAATTACCATCCTCAACACTATGTGGTGATTCTTCTTAATTTCTCTAGTTAGATCTTTCTCCCACAGGCTGTAAAGACTACTTCAAACTCTCCTTCTTCAAATCTGGAACCAAACCTTCCCACCCCTACTCAGTCTCAATAAATGATCTTGCCTTCCACATAATATAGAAAATAGAAGCATTCAAACAGTAACTTTCCCTACTTCCCGCCATCAAATCTATAAATTTACCTGTAGTTGTATTCATAGTCTATTCTTTCCCTCCTTTACAATGAAGAGGTCTCTTTTAAAATCAAGGGTCAATCCCCTTCACCTGGGAAAATTTCTATCCTTTCTCACCTTCTTAGGAACCTTCTAACATCAATTATCTCCTCTCCTGAATCTTCAACCTTTCTCTATCTATTGAGTCCTTCAATATTTAAACATGATCAAGTCTCTCACATAAAAAACAAAAAACTCTCCCTGAATTCCACTCCACTACAGCTATGCGCCATTAGGTCTATGACCCCTCACAGATAAACTGTTTCAAAGAGTTGCCTATAATCTGTTTCTAGTTCCTGACATCTCCCTCATTTCTTAACCAATTCATATTGAGTTTTTTCTGCTGCCACCATTTTCTAAAAGATACCAGTAAAATCCATATCACTATTTTGGACAATTTTCCCCCCAATGTTTCATCTTTCTCATCTTCTCAACAGCATTTAATAACTGAGATCTCCATTCTTCTTGAAACATTTTCTCCCTATTGGCTTACATGATGCTACATTCTTTAGATTTTCCTTTTATTCTTTTCTTTCTCAGTCTCCTTTGCCAGTTCATACTCCTCTAGTTGATCCTTAAATGTTGGCACTCTTCAAATCTCTGTCCTGGACCTTCTTTTTTCCTCTCCTTCCCTATTTTTCTTGTAAATCTCATCCTCTCCCCAAATTATTATTTGTACACAAAAATTATTCCAATCTTGAACCATTTACCCAACATTTCCACTTGGAGGGATGCCTCAGAGGCAGCTCTAACAGTTCCAAGGCTAATTTCATGATATCTTTCTTCTCCTCTTCCAGTGTTCTCTGTTTCAAAAAAGAGCACCACCATTCATCCAGCTGTTCATCCGAGAAATCATTCTTTCCTATTTTTCACATCTTAATCACTAAGTCTGGTTGATTATATCTCCTCAATGTCTGTGGAATCTGTCTACTTTCCATTTCTTTACCATCCTAGTCCAAGTCACTATAACCTCTTACTTGGCTTCCTACAATAGTTTCCAAATTAAATCCACATCCACTCTTGCCTCAAAGTCCAAAGCACCTTAATGTTGTACAAGGAGCAGGGAGACATATACCACTAATGATATATACTCTTCAGCCACAGAATAAGGTTTACTGAGAAAAATTTAGAAGACAGAGAAACAGCAGAATGCACACATTCTCTGAACTATCATTATCTCACAGAAGGGCATACTTAGTCCAGAAACAGACTCATGACACAAAGTGCTCCAGGAGAGCCACCCTCTCCCCAACCACATAGGAGGATTGGGAATACCTAGCTGACTAGTAAAGAACTTCCTGGTCAGGGATATGGCCTTGACAGAAAAGGAAACATCTAGAGCTCAGTTTTGGGAGGTTGTATAACAACCACTAATGACAGCCTGAGATCTTTTTTCCCATTGAACTATCTCACTCCTGCTGAGCCAAAAAAAAGAGAACAAAAAGAACCACTAGGCCATCAGGACACCAAGGTCTTTTTCTCCTCTTAACTCAAAACTCTACAAGATCTAGTACCTGCTTATTTCTTTAGCCTTACTTCATGTGTCTTATTTTCTAAGCTTCAGCCACACAGGCCTTCTTTTAATTCCTTAAGGAGTTAAGTTTGTTCCCTCAGGGCCTTTGCACACATGTTCCACCTGCTTAGTTAACCCTTTTTTTGCTAACTGATTAAACTCCTAGAAGATTCATTTTTCAGGTCCCTATCTATCTATCTATCTATCTATCTATCTATCTATCTATTTTTTTGAGGAAGATCAGCCCTGAGCTAACATCCATGCTAATCCTCCTCTTTTTGCTGAGGAAGACCGGCTCTGAGCTAACATCTATTGCCAATCCTCCTCCTTTTTTTCCCCAAAGCCCCAGTAGATAGTTGTATGTCATAGTTGCACATCCTTCTAGTTGCTGTATGTGGGACGTGGCCTCAGCATGGCTGGAGAAGTGGTGCATCAGTGCGCGCCCGGGATCCGAACCCGGGCCGCCAGTAGCAGAGCGTGCGCACTTAACCGCTAAGCCACAGGGCCGGCCCTCAGGTTTCAGTTTAAATGTTACCTTCTCAAGGAAGCCTTTCCTGACATCCCCAACGAGGATATAAGTCCTGATAGAAGCACTCACAGCATGTTGTATGTACGCTTTACAGAGTGTATCTCAATAGAAATAATAACTATTTGTGCAATTATTCAACATCTGTCCCTTCCCAAACTAGGATGTCCTTAAATGGCAGGAGCCATAGCTGCCTTGCTTAGGCTGCAGTCCTAGGACATAGCTGAGGACCTAGACATACATCATGCTCAATAGATATTCGTTAAATGAATGAATGAAGTGTGGACTTGAAAAGATCAGGTAAAGCAAGACAACTTAGCAGTATTTACTATGTAGCAATAATGCTGATTCTGATCTAATCTGGCCTTAGATTTCTAAGGAGTATGGATGACTCTGCGCCCATACTAGCACACATCAAGCTTAAATGTGGGAGCGATACAAATGAACCCTTGCTATAACTAATATGGGAGTAGGAGAGCTAGAGCTTTAGAGTATCTTGTATAAGCAAACAAATCATTATTTTACACTACTTTGTGTAATTCACTGATTAAAGTGTTGAAGGAAATATGAAGACCTGATTCCTGACTTCAATACGCTTACTTTCATTTAGAAAAATAAGAGACATTTACATGGAAAGAAAATGGTAACAAGGTACTCATCAAGAAGAGCGAAGTAAGGCGGATATGGCCCATAACAGCTAGAGGAGGATGGGTAGAGTAGTGATCCCCAGCCTTAGCTGCACAATAAAATCACCTGAGGAGCATTTAAAAAATACTGATGCTCAGATCCCACCTCCAGAGATTCTCATTTAATTGAGTTGGTGGTGAGCTCTGGGCATTGGTGTCTTTTAAAAAGCTCCCCAGGGAGTTCTAATGTATAATCTTGGCTAAGAACCACTAGTTTAATGAGATAAGGAGTGGTTTTACCGAAGAGTTAGTATTTGAAATGCTTCTTAAAGGATAGGTGAAATTGGGGTAGGCAAAAAGGAGTGAAATCTTTTCAAATAGGGACTAAGGAGTAAGAAATGGCAGTAAAGGTGCAGAAATGAGAAAGCATAAAATGTGTATGGGGATGGAGGATTATTAATAAGTAGATAGACCATTATGGCTGAAGCAAAGTGTTGGCATGGGGGACAGTAGAAAATACTTTGCGTTTTTATCCTCTATGCATTGGGTGCTACTGAATATTTTTACTGTATTATTGACATGATCAGAGAGCAGTATTCTACTACAGAAGTCTAGGTATAAGTTGATAAACTTCTGAAAAGGTGGCAGCTATAAAAATGGAAGGGATATATGAAGAGATAACAAAAGGGATGAATCAGTAAGATTTTTTGGCTGAGCCATAAATGGCATGATAAGAATTTAAAGTCACACTGATAACTTTAATAACAGCAAACACTATCATAAAGACAAATCTTCATTCTTTCTTCTAAACTCCTTTAGCAGTCAAATATAAACTTCCATCATTAGCAGTCATCCTAGTTCTATCTTTAGGGTTTATCCTTTTTTTTGTTAGAAAGAAAATTATAAATACTTTTTTAATGCAGTAATCTGTGAAAAACAAGTTGAGACTTAAATAAAAACAAAAAACTGTTTTGAAGTAACACTTAAATTGCTAATCCATTTCATCCTAAAGAAGTCTAAATTTAATTATTAATTTAATAATAATTATTATTTAATAATTATCTTCATAATTTGATAATTAAGGGATATTATGCTAAAATTTTTTTTTGAAGCATATCATAAGACATCTCTAAATCAAGCTCCTTTAATTTAGAGTAACAATTAAATAGCTGTTTCTATATCATACCTTGTATTTGGTCATGGTGCTAAAATGATTATTCCGAAAGAACACACAAAGTTCTCCTTCCTGAACCGTTGAAGTTAGTTCACATAATCCATGGTATGTCAGTTGAGTGGCTGTGTTATTTAGAAACTGCTCAGCTACAAAGCCTATGGAACCAATGCATAATATTAGATGGAAGAATAATTTCAAAATTAAAAAGTTTTTCTATTTACATTGTGTTCCAAGTATGAAGAAAGGCCAATCAAAATAAGACTTTTCCTACTATAACATGATGGCCCCAAAGTGGAGATTCTTCTCTCTAATTCTGCTATGGAAGACGTGTCTATAGACATCTCCATCCTAAAGAAACAGTTATATGAAATTCTTTTTATCAATAAATGTATTTACTCATACTTCACCTACTTCCAAAAAGGATTTCAGACAGCTTGCAATGAAAGAGACACAACAAAACTAAAACCCATTAAAACAAGATAGCAAGTGCTAGCAATTGAAAAGGTGGGTAGGAGTGAAAGATGTATGTCAACAGCTACTTCCCCAATGGATAGGTGTTTAGAAATTAAAAGTAGCCTTACCAAACTGAGTTGCTTAAGATTTTAAGAAAGATACTAGATAATTCTCAATTCACAAATTGCTCAATTCTTGCCTTGAAACTAAAAGTAGGCATTCGACTGAACAGAAAACAGTAGGATAACTGATGCCATTTTTATCCTAATCTCCTCCAACATATACCACTCATTATGTAGAGCTATCAAGTTCAGAAATAGAAATGATCTCTTTTGTTTTCAAAACATAATGAAATATAAAGACATTTTCTGGGGTTTAATTTAAAAGATATATGTACAGTTGATCCTCGTTATTCACGTGGGTTCATATTTGCAAATTTAGCTACTATCTAAAATTTATTTATAACTCCAAAATCAATAGTTGTTGTGCTTTCAGGGTCATTCCTGGATATGTGCAAAGTGGCAAAAAATTTGAGTCACCCAACGTGCACATTCCCCACCGAGGTCAAACAAGGCAATGCTCTGCTTTCTTGTTTCAGCTCTCATACCGTAAACAAGTATCCTTTTCATGGTCTTTTTAGTGCTACATTTTTCACATTTTTATGCTTTTTTGGGGTGATTTTTACTGTGTAAAATGGCCCCCGAGCATAATGCTGAAGTGCTGGCTAGTGTTCCTAAGTGCACAAAGGCTGTGATACACCTTACGGAGAAAACATATTTTTGCAGCTTCATTCAGGCATGAGTTATAGTGCCATAGGCCATGAGGTTAATGTCAGTAAATCAATATAGAGACAATATATGTGTCTCTAAACAAAAACACGCATAAAACAAGGTTATGTACTGATCAGTTAATGAAAATCTTGTGACCAGAGGCTCACAGGAACCCAATGTTGTGTTTCTCCTAGAAGCAGTGGTTCAGTATTCACTAATTCAGTGTTCACAGCAACTTTATAGAACATAACTTCTAGGAATAATGAGAATCAACTGTATAAATATTTGGAAAGCCTGTATTTCTCTTCTTCCCTTCTTTCTCTTCCTTCTTCCTTTTGCTCCCTTCCTTTAATAAGGAAGAAATGTCTCAGAAGCAATAAGGGGGAAGAGAATGCTCTAAAAAGTTTTATAAGTGAGCAGAGAGGTGCAGATATAGGGAGTAAAGATGAACCTGTGTAAAGAAGCTGACACCTCAACAAGAAATTGAAAATAAAGTTGGTAGAGCCACAGGCAGCTGGATAGTATGGATTTATTCCACTCCCTCTCCATCCCTCCCATAGCACTTCAAGCTGCAAAGTGGTTGTAAAAAGTTACCAATATATCACACTATTCCAAGGAACTGGAGGGGAAGTGCAAAGTTAAACAGAAGGCCACAGCCAAAGGAAATTTGTAGCACATTTACAAAATTCTTGGGTTTATACATTTAGAAATAAGAGCTCCCCCAACCTTGATTATTATCATTACTTTGCTAAGTACTGTTACCGAGTAGAATGTATGTTATATACTAAAGCACTATTATATAGCATTTAAGAAGTAAGCATCATGCCTGTGCTGAGAATTACCACTGCTGTCTATAATAGCCATGTTATTAAACACTTCCTTCAGAAAGATGTTTATAAATGCCCCTCCCACACTTCACTCACACAACATCCTCTCTACAAATCCCTTTCAAAAAGATACAAAAATTCAGTGAAGATATAGCACAACATTACTTTCATGTGTGTGAAATTCAAAACTTCAACACTAGAAAGGTCTTTCTCAGCTACTTCTTTCTATAGAATAGGACATAGGCTCAGAGAGAATAAGTAACTTGCTCAAGGACATAAAACTAGTTATGGCAAAGTGATGACTGAAACCCAGAAGAATTATTGGTATTAAGTTAAAAAATTTAGTGCTGATTATTATAAATGCAAACTGAATTGTATTTCTCCCCAAAACATAAAGCATAGCCTAAGTTAGTGTTATAGAGAACAATGTTTCCTAATTCTTCTACCAACTCTTAAACAGTGATACTCCTGTGATTTTAGTGGAATATTCAAAAGCCTAATCTAGTTTCAACTTTTCATAACTAATTAAACAAATTTTGGTAAATGATTCTAAGTGTTATAGAGCAGTTTACGCATCTGCATTGCTTCAAATGACAAAGAGTTTATTTGCAACATTTAGATTAAATTTCAATTCTATTGTTATATTGTTATTAATGATACTAAAGGTAAAAATTAATATAATGGTAATAATATTACTGAAAATAAATTTAAATTAAAAATTATTTTCCTGACATTAATGTATTTGAAAATATTTCTTAGTTTCAGAAATTCAATACTAAATTAATTTATCAAATTATTTTTCTCTATTACTGAAAAGTTGTTAGAGAACTTGAAAGTACTGAGTGCCTTAAAGAAGGTGAAGTAAGAAAGAGGGTCACTAAAATTAGGCAAAAAGGAAAAAGAGAGGAAAAAAGAGAAAAGAAGACTTGGCTTATTTTAAAATGTTGGCTAGATGTGGTCCTGCCTGAGGTTTGTGTTGAAATTTAAACTCAGTCAGAACTTAACTTTGTCACTGTGTTAGCTTTACATAAATGATCATATTTTCTTTTTAATTTCATCTACTGTCAAGTTTCAAAAATCAAATACATTATATTAATTTTTTCCTCAAGAGGATGGGGCAAAACAATCTCTACTAATATGACAACTGCCCAGGTTTTCTTTGAAAATATAGAGGCTCATATGATTTGATTCCAGGAATGCAGTAGGGAGCCCAGAACATCTTATTGTGCTAGAAAATAAGAAAGTGCTTAAGAAATGACGAATACATGTCAAAAGAACATGGAATCCAGCTTGAGAGCACCCCACTGGCTATATCTGGGACAATTCTAAACATCAAAAAGAATAAGATAGGGCCAGCCCCGTGGCTTAGCGGTTAAGTGCGCGCGCTCCGCTACTGGCGGCCGGGGTTTGGATCCTGGGCGCGCACCGAGGCACCACTTCTCCGGCCATGCTGAGGCCGTGTCCCACATGCAGCAGCTGGAGGGACGTGCAACTGTGACGTACAACTATCTACTGGGGCTTTGGCGAGGGGGGGGGGGGAGGAGGAGGATTGGCAATAGATGTTAGCTCAGAGCCGGTCTTCCTCAGCAAAAAGAGGAGGATTAGCATGGATGTTAGCTCAGGGCTGATCTTCCTCACACACACACAAAAAAGAATAAGATAATAATGGATCATAACACACTGAATAAAAAATAATCTATGAGTCTACACTGATAAAAAATTTTTTTCATAGGGGAGGAAGAGAAGGGACAACTAGTTCTTATAGAAGAATGCCAATAATAAATTTAGGAATAATAGAAATATCATAGCTACCATAGTAATAGTTGATTTAGGCGAGAATCAATGAATGCCAACTCTATTGGGTAAAAAATTATTAGGAAACAGGGTATTTACACAGTTTCAAAGCATAACATCAGAGATTACTTATTAATTACAAAGGGAAGATGGTATCGTTACAACAAAAAAATCTGGAAGATACTACCTTAATCATATTTGCACATCACCAATAATGGGATAATCAGACATCATGTGCCACCTGATTTGATACACTGGGAAAGACACAATGTCATCTATGTAGTATTCCCAGCCAAAATGTATAACCTAAATCTACTCATGAGCAAACAATCAGATGAATCCAAATTGAGGACTATTCTATAAAACAACTATTAAGAAAAGTCAATATCACAGAAGACCAAAAAGAAAAGAAAGAAAAAAAAGTTAGGGATCTGTTCTAGATTACAGGAGATTAAACAAATGACAATTAAATGATCCTTGATTGGAGCCTACATTGAAAAAAATTAAAAGCTATAAGGGGCATTATTGGGACAACTAAGGAATTTTGAATATAAACAGTATATTAGATAATAGTATTATATCAATGATAAATTTCCTGAGATAATTATATTGTGATTATACAGGAGAATTCTTTGTTCTTGGGAGACAAGTGATGAAGCATTAATGGGTAAAGTGCTATGATACCTGCAACTAATTCTTACATAATTTAGGGAAAAGAGTGTGTGAACATAGAAACAAAGCAAAAATTTAATATGTTAATCGGTGAATTTAGGTGAAGCACATATATATATATATTCATTGTGCTATTCCAACGTTTTTATGGGTTTGAGATTTCTCAAAATAAAAGTGAAAGAAAAAAAAGTAAATCAATATTATTTTTTCAAAAACAATGTGAATTCAAACTATAATCTTCAGTGTTTATGGCACATAATAAAGGCTCAGTAAATATTTGAATAAATGAATATTCTGGAATTATTTATTTAAGCATATTTTTTACCTAGAAACAATTGTTAGAGAAGAAATTATTCCTGAGAAAGCATCTGGAATTAAATGACTAGCTCTAGTAAAGTCTGGCAGCTGGTAGTGTGCTATTTTTTTCCTTGTTGATTTTTGCTGCAATGCTACAACCCATCATTATAACTAGATGCGAAAAGGAATTAACAACCAAAAGAGATAGCAAATAATACGTACTCTCTGTACACATAAAAGTTCTGTACTATTACTTCTAAGGTATTGCCATCAAAAGAAAATGCATGTTATCTGAAAGAAGATCTAATTCTATTTGACTGTTAGCTAAATAACATTTCTTTTTCATCAAAAAAGAATGATAGTAAAAGTATTTCTTGTATTCTGCACCTTTTGGAGATGAAACATTTAAACTTTAAAAATAATAAGTAGTTATCTAAGACCAGAGCTTAATACTTTTTAATAAAAAAAGATTAGAAATAAACCACCTTTTGGATATTTTATTGATTCAGAAGGAAAGTTACAGTTGTAGGATAAATAGAAAAAGAAAGGAGACTACTTCAGTTGAACACCATACCTAAGAAAATATGAAGAAAATGATGGAGGAAAGCTAATTACTACTTTATATGTGAAAATACCCATTGTGGCCTCTTCTTTCCTATATGATTTCTTAGTGCCTTATAGAAGTAACCATTGGGGTTGAATAATTAGTTCAAACAGACTGCATATTTGTAGTTTCTTATAAACAAAAAATTAGTTTAGCTTTTTAATTGTACTGAATATATAATTATTCCTTGATATGGAAATCTGATATGCAGAATTTCACCATTATAAAATTTATATATCAAGGAATTAATCAATTCCAATATATATTACCTGAAAATTCTATACCACTAAAAAGTATAATTTCTTCCTTGCTTCTACCAAGATGTTCTTCTCAAGTTATCAATACTATATAAATTAGCTATAGTTTTTTGTTATCTTGGGGAATGAACATCAGAGAAATAATAATAGTTGTAACAACAGGTTGAGAAAAAGGAACAGTGATGAAGGGACTGGTTTTTTTTTTTGCTGTTGTTCATTTTGTTAATTAATGAACTAAGTCCTACCCTGTTACATTGCAGCCTGGCTTGGGAAAAATGCTGTTAACAGTGTTTCCTATAGCTTCTCACCCTATAAATCTATTCACCCAAATATCACTTCTTGGCTATCATTCCATCAGTTATCACTAACTGAATCCTATTGTTCCCTTAATTACTATTGCATAGCCTACTGGAAGGTACTGAGCAAGTAGGAATCCACGGATGGAAATTTTCTTTATAGCCTGCTTTTTAGAAATATATTTATAGTAATGAGAGCTTGGATAAGGAATGGAAAGTTCTAGTGAGTGGAATTTTGTTAACTGAGAGAAAATATTTTTTAACAGCTTTTGTTGCTCCTCTTCTCCCTGAAATTTAAACTTTGCTGCCTGAGACTGTAGTGAAAGAGTTGTCATACAAATCAATGATTAATAGCCCTATATATTTACGTGTTTATTGCAAGTAGAAGACTAGGATAAGCCTCAACTAAAATACTGTGTATCTTCTTGCTACTTGCCTCTTGCTTAAACATGTTAAACTTCTAGATAATTGAGTAATATAATTAGATGGGTTCTGATTAATCAAGACAGTAAGAGATTCATGTACACATGGTCTTTCATATGTTCTTATATACTCTTATAGTTAGTTTTAATTTTTAAGAATGTGATTGTAATCAACTTTTATTATATATCATGTAAAAGAACTGTGTGTCTGAGAGAGAATGATGAAGCTCATCACCCGCTTCTCATGATTTCTCTTTCTATTGTTTATCCTTCAAACAGAAAATAGCAGCCTCAGTATTTGTGCATATTTATGAAAAAGTGAAATGGGTGGTAGGGAAGGTATAACCAAATGCTATGGCTCCTGATAGCATCCTAGTTTTATATCCGCTCTTTCCTTTATTGACTGGAACACAGCTGAAAATATATGAAACTGCTTATATAATGATGAATTTAGCAATTTTAATCAGCTAAAGATTAGGAAAACTGATGATCAGAGGTATACTCTGATCCAGAATGGAGCTTTAATATACTACATCGACCTGAAACATACGGCAGAGCTCTACTAAGATGAACACTTGAGTACCATAATACTCTTCTCAGTCAACTTAAGTGTTCAGGATGAGTTATAAAGTTCACCCTGTACACCCCCAAAATAATGCTTTTTTAAAAGAGTAATTATCAGAAACCCCTGGATAATTTTAAAAGAGTAATTATCAGTAACCCTTTGATAACCATGTCAAAGTGACTTTTATTAGAATCCAGACCTGATTTTACAAGTCAAGTGAAAAGGTTTCTAGGAAAAACCTTTCACTGGCAACTTTATAATTACTTCTTTTAATTCCTACAAGTAGCATCACTTGTAGTTTTTAGAAGTCTTATTTAAGACATTTAAAAGATATTAAATTATAAGACAAGTTATTTTGCCAAGAATAAGTCAGGTAGTAGGAGCATTCACCCACCTTCACTAACCAGCTCACTATTGTCTGACTGCTTACAAGAGATGATCTTCTCCACTAGTTGGTTGTAGCTGCAGTTACCAACAGCTTTTACAATGTCATCAATCTAGAAAACAAACGACTGTCTCACTAATCATGATGAGATTAAAAACAATAACAAAGAAACCCATATCACTCTTTAGGGTTTTATTTTAATACAATACTAAATATAAAAGTATTACTTACGAAAAAAGAAAATCAGCACTAAAATCAACACCCAAGAGTTTTCAACTGTTTACAGCTCATTGTAACATATTATGAAAAACATTGCTTAGCTGTATTTCAATTATGAAAAAAAAAATGAAATGGGATTATTACAAGCAATTTTATTTCTTAATGTTGTAAAGATGCATTTAAGTGAATAAAAAGTAAACTATTTCAGGAGGAAAAATAAGAAAATCTCAGTTTTTGGTTTTTTTCTTTTTTTACAAAAAAACAAATGTTTTACATTTAAAGCAAGGCAAATCTAAAGATATTAATTTATGGATTAACAAAGTTTTCCATTTTATTTATTATTGAGTTCTTAGCAAAGTATAGTGGAGATATGAGTGGATATAACATTATTTTCCTGAAGAAACGTTAATGTATCTTAATCAGGGACAGTATTTGCCTCATGATTCTTTTTTTTTTTTTTTTTGTGAGGAAGATCAGCCCTGAGCTAACATCTGTTGCCAATCCTCCTCTTTTTTTTTGCTGAGGAAGACTGGCCCTGGGCTAACATCCGTGCCCATCTTCCTCTACTTTATGAGAGGCTGCCACAGCATGGCTTGACAAGCAGTGCGTGGGTCTGCACCTGGGATCCAAACCTGCGAACCCCAGGCCACCGAAGCAGAGCGTACGAACTTAACCACTACGCCACCAGGCCAGCCCCTGCCTCATGATTCTTATTTAATCTTTGTCTTTTGAGGTCAGTAGAAAAGAAATTCAAAGTTTTAAGCTACAGGAAAGTAAAATTGGGCATCTCTACTCTCCCTCCATTATATTTTGCTTTGACTATTGAAGAAAAATAGGTTTCTGCTGTCTAAACAACTTATTTTGATTGCCCTCCCATCCCTGAAATATATTTATTTATAAATTATTTACATGTACTACTGTATGAATACAATATATATATAATAAAACAAATACAAATTAATACAATAATATAAAAATAAGAGGGCCAATGCTTTCTTTCTACATCCAAATGATCTTCTTGAATACTTACCCTTTGAATACCACAAGCCTTGACATGTATCTGCACAAGTAATACTCTGGACAGTGGTTCTCAAACTGAAGAGTTTGTTAAAAAGATCTAAAAGAATTCCAGGCTCAAGTTGCTTCTCAGTTTGGCTAAGTTTTCATTCCCCTGTTTCATAGCAAAGTTTGAGAGCAACTGCTCTAGGCTATAATTTATTTTTTTTGTTCCTGCAAAATTCTAGGATGGTAATAGCCTCTTAACCATGCAAATGAGACTGACAGTGGTTAAGAAGATCAGTTAATTGAAAAAGTCAAAGCAGAAAATTGTGGAAAATATTATATACATACTTATTAAACATTTCACGTTAACTTAAAACACATGGATGTATTCACTTGTCAATTTTTTGATGCAAAGCCAAATAAGGCCTTTTCTTTGAAAGCAGATCTTTTGGCTATGATGCTATGTAAACCACACAGAAGAGTATGACCTCTAGTTTTGATTTATTTAAAATGAAAACTTAGACCCTTAAGAAGCAATTTGAGGGCACCAATCCCTTTAGATTTTTATTATTTTTCTTAACACCTCTGTTTATAGCAATTTTCTTTAGTGACTCAACTTCATTAAATCTTTCCAAAGAATCTGAATTTTCAATCCTAAGGAATCCACAAAAATACAACTAGAATAATAAACACAAGATCAATATACAAAGATCAATTGTACTTCTATAGACCAGCAAAGAACAGTACAAAGATTTCATGTTTTCATAGGCAGAATCTCTACATTAATATTTCATTCAGTTAATTCATTTAGGTTCCTTTTATGCATTACTATGTACCAGGTGCTGTTAGAGAAACTGCAGACTCATCAGTGAACAAAATAGAACAAAATATTGTTTGTGTTTACTCTAGAATATAAACTTTACTCTAGAATATAAACTTTCACTGGCCATTTGGATATCCGTTTTTGTGAAGTGCCTGTTCAAGTCATTTGCTCCTTTTTTTTACTGGCTTGTCTATCTTTAAAAAAATTATTTGTAGGAGCTCTTTATACCTTCTGGATATTAATCCTTTATTCATTGTATAAGTCACAATCATCTTCTACTCTGTGGCTTGCTTTTACATTGTCTTTGGGATTTCTTTAGACAAACACAAGTTTTCAATTTTAATGTAGCCCTGTGTACCAATGTTCTTCATGGTTAAAGCATTCGTGTCTTGTTTTAGAAATCCTTTCCTATCATTAAGGTTAGAAATATATTCTCGAATTTTTGCAGTTTTATCTTTTATACTTAAACATCAATGCACCTGGAATAGAATTTCATGGTGTGAGTTGGGGGAAACAATTTCATTTTTTTCTAATTGGCTATCTAATTAGAAATTTGAATAGGCTATCTAGCTGGCTATCTAATTAGATATCTAATGCCTATCTAATTATCTTAGCGCCTTTCCCCCACTGCTCTGCAGTGCCCTATTTCTTTCTATATATGCATGGTCTTTTTGGCCTCTCTATTCTCTGTCATTGGTCTAATTCTTAATTACAATATTTAAAATATTTCATATCTGGAAGAGCAAGTCCTCCCTACTTGTCCTGCTTCAAGAATATCTTGGCTTCTATTCCCGGCCCTTTGCATTTCCATACATATTGTAGAATCAACTTGTCAAATTCCACGACTACTCTCCACAAATCTGCTGGGATTCTGTTTGGGATTGTATTGAAACTATAATTTATTTTAGAGAAAACTGACATCTTTATAAATTCAGTCTTGAAATCTAAAATCTAAGAACAGAATAAAGACCTACATTTACAGGTCTCTAATTTCTCCCAAATTTAAAATTATCTCCATAGAGGATTTGCATGTCTTTTTGTCAGATTTATTCCTAGGAACTTATGCTATGTAAATGACATATTTTTAAAATTTCATTTTCTGTTTGTCATTTTAAAATCCTTTTCAAACAATTTTAGCTTTGTTAATCTTCTTTATTGTATGTTTACTTTCTATTTTTTTTTTAAAGATTTTATTTATTTATTTGTTTCCCCCCAAAGCCCCAGTAGATTGTTGTATGTCATAGCTGCACATCCTTCTAGTTGCTGTATGTGGGACGCGGCCTCAGCATGGCCAGAGAAGCGGTGCGTCGGTGCGCGCCCGGGATCCGAACCCGGGCCGCCAGCAGCGGAGCGTGCGCACTTAACCGCTAAGCCACAGGGCCGGCCCTACTTTCTATTTTAATACTTTCTGCTCTTAAGATGGATATACAGCTCATTAATTTTCAATCTGTTCTGGTTCTTTAATATTTAGGGCTTTAAAAATCCCTCTAAAAATTGTTTTAGCTAAATCTCACAAGTTTTGATATGGATTTAGTTATTGTGCAGTTTAAAATATACTCTAAGTTTCATTATGATTTTTTGACCCAAACAGTCTCTATTGTGTTTCTACTGATTTCTATCTTAATTGCACTGTGGTCAAAGAATATCCTATACTCTGTATGTTTTAAAGCCTTAGAAATTTGTTGAAACTTGCTTTATGGCCAGCATCAGGTCAATTTTTGTAAATTTCATGAGTGTATAAAGAGAATGTATAGTCTGTTTCATAAAAAACAAAGAATGACTGAGGAAAATGTCATGGAAAAGAGGAGATTAGGAAGATATGGTGATTAAATGCAATGTGATGCCCTGGATTAGATTCTGGAGCAACAAGAAAAAAAACAGTAGTGGAAAAATTGGTGAAACATGTATGAAGATTGTAATATAGTGAATAGTAATGTACCAATATTAAATTTCTAAATTTTGACACAGGTACCATGGTCATGTAAGATTAGGGGAAACTGGGTAAAGAGTATATGGGAATTCTCTGTAATATCTTTGCAACTTTCTTGTAAATCTGAAATTATTCCAAAATAAAAAAAGTTCATTAAATTTTTTTTAAAGAATATATTTTCATTAGATTTTTTTTCCTGCTTTTATCAATTACAGAGAAAAGTACATTAAAAACTTCCAGGATGGTGATCTATTTTTTCATATAATTCTGTTAAATTTTGCTTTATAGCTTTGAGGTTATGTTATTAGATACATATAAATTTTGTTTTTCATTGTCAAAACCTGACTTTTACTCTTTATGACAGTTCCCATGGGTCCAAGAAATAAACAGTCAATCAGGGTATACTTTCCAGATGTCTCCAGGCATATTCAAATTTAAAACGATTATATCTTCTTGGCAAATTAAACATTCTATCATTAGTAATGCTTTTTGACTTAAAAGTCTATTCTTTCTGACATTACTATAGGTACACCAGCATTCTTTTGATTAGCAATTGTATGGCATCTCTTTTTTCCCTCTTTTTACTTGCAATCTTTCTGTTTAACTTCAGACTGTTTTGTATATGTCTCTTATAAACAACAAGTATATATATTTTAATCTAGCCTCAGAATCCATGTCATTTAACTAGAGCATTTAGTCCTATTTATACATACTATAATTATTCATATATTTGAACTTATTAAATCTACCATTCTCTCTGTCCCATCAGTTCAACATTCCATTACCTCTCCTTTCTTCTGTCTTTTTAGATTGATTAATTTTCCCCTCTTCTACAAATCTAGAAATTACTCACTATGTTTTCTATTCCTTTCATGGTTACTCGAAAGGAGTATTATCCAATAGCACATTCTGTAATAATGGAAATATTCTAAATCTGTGTTGCCCAATAAGATATCTGCTGGCCACATGTGACTACTGAGCAACTGAAATGTGTCTAGTGCAATTCAGGAACTAAATTTTTAATTAAATTTAAATTTAAATGGCAAGGGCCGGCCCCGTGGCTTAGCGGTTAAGTGCGCGCACTCCGCTACCGGCGGCCCAGGTTTGGATCCCGGGTGCGCACAGACGCACCGCTTCTCCGGCCATGCTGAGGCTGCGTCCCACATACAGCAACTAGAAGGATGTGCAACTATGACATACAACTATCTACTGGAGCTTTGAGGAAAAAAAAGGAGGAGGATTGGCAATAGATGTTAGCTCAGAGCCGGTCTTCCTCAGCAAAAAGAGGAGGATTAGCATGGACGTTAGCTCAGGGCTGATCTTCCTCACAAAAAAAAAAAAAAAAAAATTAAATGGCCACACTTGGCTACCATTTTGAACAGAGAAGCTATAAACTGTAACATCTATCCTTACCATATCAAAGTCAGAAGTTAATACCCTCTCTTGAACAATTAATTCTAGGCCCTTAGAATACTTTACCCTCCTCCCAACTTATATTATTATTTTTGCATATGCTAATGTTCTTTTTATAACCCCAAAAGATAATGTTATTATTTGATACAGTCAACAATCATTTATATTTATCCACATATTTATCATGTTATTTTCTCTCCATTCACTCTTCCTTCTATCTGGGATCACTTTTCTTCTTTCCAAAATCCTTGTTTAGAATTTCCAATAAAGGTGGCCTACTGGCAGGAAACTATCTTAATTTAATTAATCTAATAAATAACTTTATTTTGCTCCATTCTTGAAAGACAATTTTTATGGGAACAAGATTATAGGTCAGCATTTGTCCTCTTTCAGCACAGTGAATATCTCATTTCCACTGTCACCTGGCTTCCAATGTTGTTCTTAAAGAGTCAGTTGTCAATTAACAGTGGAGAAATACCTTCTCAGTGGCTGAATTCTGATGCCCACTATCCAGAGAACTGCTGATATTTACTTGCAAGATAATTATTTGCAGAACATATAATTGGAATACAAAGAACTAGCCATTTCTGAGAGATATTTCATACAGGCCTATGGATTTCAAACTTTTGCCTTGTTCTTTTTTCTTTCTCTGCAGCAGAATCCTTCTGTCACGAAACAATAGATAAAAAGCACAGCCCTCAGTCCCTTCCAAGAGTTTGAAAACCACTGTGTAGAACAGAAAAGTCTGATGAACAATCTCTGTTCTATATTACAGTACATTGTTTTCCTTAAGCATATAAATTCAATGGTATACCAGACAATATATAGCTACACATACAGTCAGAGGGATGATCTGAGTCCAATTTTTAAGAACTCAGGCTTAAGTTCCTCAGGTGGTCAGCTCATTGTCCTCAAGAATCTAGGCTACCTGGCATTGTCAGCTTCCAGGATCCAACATGGCTCACCTTGAATGTGTCAAATGCCAGACATGTTTAGATTTTTCAATGACATTATCAGAGACAGAGTGCCAATATAGATACAGATGCCTGCTTACAGTAAGCCATCCTTTCACTGCTCACAATACCAGTTGCTTTTACCAATAGAAAAGGATGAAGAAACACTGCCAAGTCCTTGCTATTGTGATATCTCCTTTCCTGTAGTTAATGCATGTATGCATGCCTGCTTCATTCTATCAGTCAATATTTATTAAGAACCTTCTATGTGCCAGGTGCTGTTCTAAACAATGAGAAATAAGAGCCCAGCCCACATAAAACATACATTCTAGTGGGAGATGTCAGCCAATCAAGTCAAGGAATAAATAAGAATTCCAGATAATGATAGGTGGTAAAGAAAATAGGGTCATGGGAGAGGAAATGAGTGAGGGAAAGCAGGGTGGGTAATTTCAACAAGTTGGTCAGGGAGGGCCTCTCTAACAAGGCGATATTTGACCTAAGGCCCGAATAATGAGACACAAGAAATGTAAAAATCTGGGAGAACAATGCGTTAGAATAATAAAACAGTGTTCCACAGTGGGAAATCAGCTGGTACAAAAGTCCAAGGTAAGAATGGCTCAATGTGTCTGAAGAACAGGTAGGCAGTTAATGTTGCTGGAGGGTAGTAAAAAAGTGGGAGAATTATATGACGTGAAGTCGGATAGACAGGCAGAGTCTAGATCAGCAGCATATCATAATAGCTCTAATCAGAATTTTGCATCTTATTTTAGTTACACCGGACGCTTTTAAGGAGAGGAGGAGGCCACAGGGGTAAAAGGGAGGGTTTATTTTACAAAGATCACTCTGAATGCCAAGATAATTCAAAGGTGAGAAAGAATAATCTTTCTAACAAATGTTACTAGGACAACTGGACATCCACATGAAAAAGAATAAAATTGGATCTCTTCCTCAAACCATATACAAAAATCAACTCAAAATGGATCATACTCCTAAATGTAAGCACCAAAACTATAAAATCCTTAGAAGAAGATATAGGAGTAAACATTTGTGACCTTGGGTTAGGCAAAGCCTTCTTAGGTAGGACATCAAAAGCATAAGCAACAAAGGGAAAAACAGATAAATTGGACTTAATCAAAATTAAAAACTGTTCTGCTTCAAAAGGTATCATCAAGAAAGTGAAAAGACAACCTATACAATATTTGCAAATCATATATCTGATAAGAGACTTATACCTAGAATTTATAAAGAGCTCTTGCAACTCAATAACAGAGACAAATAGCCCAACTAAAAATGGGCAAGGGATCTGCAGACATTTCTCTAAAGAAGATATTCAAATGGCCAATAAGCACATGAAAAGATGCTCAACATCATTAGTCATCAGAAAAATGCAAACAAATCCACAATGAGGTATGACTTTACACCTACTAGGATGACTATAATCAAAAAGACAGATAATAACAAGAGTTGGTGAGGATGTAGACTCAATTTTGTAGTTGATCCCTCACTCCTTGAAGTTACAGTCAGAAGTCATGGGCAGATTTAGCAGTCTGGAGGACTGTGCCCTTAACCTCAGAATTTGGATAATTCCAAGTAAAAGCACAAAAATATAAGTACAAGAAAATATAAATCTAGATTACTTTGCCAAATTAATAAATTTTTACTACATAGTGTTTATATAATTTAAAGTTTTCTACTTACCTGAGGGTCCACTAACCACCCATGGTACAAAGGTATATCAAGAAGATCAAATACTATGCATTCTGGTGTATATTCAAACACTCGAACACCAGTGAATTTTACATTGACATCCAAGCCTGTCTGTAGTTTGTGCAAGATTGCCATAGCATCACTCATATTCTGAAAATAGAAAGGGGAAGGGTAAAGATGAGAAAAATCAAGCAACAACAACAAAAAAGATACTTGAAAGCAGGCACATATACTTCTAATTTTCCATTTTATCCGATTTGTTCACCCTTTCAACCAATTTTTTATCATTAAGTACCTATTATGTGTCAGGCACTAATCTGAGTTCTAAAGATATAATAGTGAATAAAATAGAAAAAGTTTCTGATCTCATGTAACTAACATTCTACTATGAGAGGCATAAATATATAATATAATGTCAAGTATTAGTAAGAAAAATTGAGCAGGACAAGGATATACACGGTGACAAGGGTGAGGCACCTATTTTAGACCAGAAAGCCTAAAGACAAAAGTTTCTAGTCAAAGGGGAAGGCCCCTCTCACTTCTAGGAATACATCCAAAAGAACTGAAAGGAGCATCTTGAAGAGATATTTGTATACCCATGTTCACTGCAGCATTATTCACAATAGCCAAGGGGTAGAAGCAGCCCAATGTCCATTGACAGATAAACAGACGAAGAAAATGTGGTATATACATATAATGGAATGTTACCCTTAAAAAAAGAAGGGAATCCTATTACATGATACAACATGGATGAAACTTTAGGACATTATGCTAAGTGAAATAAGCCATCACAAAAGGACAAATACTGTGTGATTCCGCTTATATAAGATATCTATAGTCAAAATCATGGAAACAGAAAGTAGAATAGTGGTGGTCAGGAGCTGGAGGGAGGGAGAGGGGGGAGTTGTTCAATGGGTACAGAGTTTCAGTTTTACAAGACAAACATACTCTAGAGATCTGTTAAACAACAATGTGAATATAACATTACTGAATTATACATTTAAAAATGATTGAGAGTAAATTTTATGTTTTGTTTTTTAACCACAATTAAATGAAAAAGAAAGAAATGAGCTATCAAGCCATGAAAAGACAGGGAGGAAATTTAAATGTATATTACCATGTGAAAGAAGCCAATCTGAAATGGCTACACATTGTATGATTCCAAATGATACTGTGGGAAAGGAAAAACTATGGGGACAGTAAAAGACGGGTAGTTGGCCAGGGGTTAGGAAGAGGCAGGGATGGATAGGCAGAGCACAGAGGAATTTTAGGGCAGTGAAACTATTCTGTATGGTACTATAATGGTGGATACATGTGATTATACATTTGTCAAAACCCACAGAATGTATAATACCAAGAGTGAACCCAGGGGCCGGCCCCGTGGCGTAGCAGTTAAGTGCACGCGCTTCCCTGCTGGCGGCCAGGGTTCGGATCCCGGGCACGCACCGATGCACCGCTTGTCAGGCCATGCTGTGGCGGTGTCCCATATAATGTGGAGGAAGATGGGCACAGATGTTAGCCCAGGGCCAGTCTTCCTCAGCTAAAAGAGGAGGATTGGCGTGGATGTTAGCTCAGGGCTCACCAAAAAAAAAAAAAAAAAAAATGAAAAGAGTGAACCCTAATGTAAACTACGGGCTTTGGGTGATAATTATGTTTCAGTGTAGGTTCATCAATTATAACAAATGTATCACTCTGGTATAGGATGTTGACAGTGGGGGAGGTTGTGTGTGGGGGGGCGAACAAAGGGTATATGAGAACTCTCTGTACTTTCTACTCAATTTTGCTATGAACTTAAACTGCTTGAAAAGAAAAAAAGCCTCTAAAAATGACACAAATAGCGAGCAAAGCAAAACAGTGAGTCTTGGGAGGCTCTGGAAAAAAAGCATTCCAGACAAAGCAGACACTAGTGCAAAAACTCTGATGCAGAAATGAATTCAATACTGTGTTCATGGAACAACAAGGAGTCCAGCATGGCTGAACAAAGTAAACAAAGTGGAATGTGGTGGGAAATGAAGTCTGAGAGAAAGACAGGCTGGATCACAAACATTTTTTAGCCAAATTAAGGAGTCATTCTGTCTGCATCAATTTCCTCAATAAATGAGGTCACATAAGTCTGTAATGAAGACTATTTTAAAACACATTTTTTTCTAAACATTTTAATACATTAAATATGGACATACTTATAGAGGATATATTTGATAAAACAAAGAAAAATCAATATATAAAATTTAATAAAATTCTACTTAATCCCTACTGTTAATCAGACACTGTGCTACATACTGAAGATATAAAATAGAAGTAGACTATAGCCTACTAGAGGGCTTATAGTAGAAAGGGTGAACATGAAATAAATTCTTTTATATTAAAACTAGGAACTCTCTCTGAAATCTGAAAAAGACGAATTTAGGTCATAAGAACCAAGTTTTGTTTTACCAAATAACTTATAAAATTCCATTCTAAGAGATTGTACAGTCTGAAAACAAATTATTCAAATGTTGTAAATTTATGAATGAAGAATTTGTAACAAGATAACATTGTTATATAGTCTTTGGCTTTCATCAGTTTCACCTCTTCCTAATAACTATGTTCCCCCAAAACAATATATTTTCTCAATCTTCCCAAAAGATGAACCCTTGAAAACAATCAGCTCGCATTTTTTTTCCCTTCAGTGTTTAAAAATTTTTCCTAAAGTCATAGCAATGATGAATCTGAGAAAATAGTAACAACAGTGAGCAATTGTAGGATTATAGTTCTACTACTACTAATTTTTTCTTCTAGATTCGTTAAACTCTTGGTTGTCCAATTTTCCTTCAGGGAAGGAAATTTCTTATAGGTCCTGGGCTCATGCTTACACCTTTATATATCTTCTACATTTTTTTTATAGATTATATAGCATTAAAACAACTAAATTGACACCATTTGATAATCTCCATAAAGTTAATAAAACTGATAAAAACTAAATTTATAAACAAAGGGTTGAAAAGGGTATTTCACCGTCTTGTTCCTCAATCCAAATTATGATACTTAATATTATAAAATATAAATCCTAGGGATGGTTGCTTACATCACAAGAAAGGATTACTATTTGTTCCTGTAAGCCAGTATTTAAATTGTTTCTTAGAATTTTTCCTAAAGGTATTTCTAACATGGTGAAATATTTTAAATTTAAATATAAAACATATTTTAAAATAAATATTTGCAGTCATTTAAAAACCTGTCATACACACACATACACACAGTATTTTCTTGTGTTGTCAGGGTATCTATCATTAAGCAAAACTGGAAAAAATATGTTATTTACTTTACAACTTCTGGAAAAGAGGTTTTAATTAGGAAGATTGCAGCTCTCTATTGGTCTTTCTAAAATTTAGGACATTTCTGCTCACATAAAATTATACAAAAAAGAAGACTATTACATCACACTTGTGAAACATTCAACATCAGCTTCGACACAGTCATATCATCAGCTTGGTACATACTACTCTCAGAACTAATGGTAATGTAATCATAATACCTTATAAGTAGTTTTAGAACTTATTTTAAATGCAAGGTACTTTTGTGTGACATGTTTATAAGAAATGCAAGCGGTTGTTAGATATTGTTTATTTCAACTTTGAAACAAAACTTTACTTTCAATCATTTTCCAAGAATCTAGATCACCTTTTTTTTTTTTTTTTTGTGAGGAAGATCAGCCCTGAGCTAACATCCGTGCTAATCCTCCTCTTAAAGACTAGCTCTGAGGTAACATCTATTGCCAATCCTCCTCCTTTTTTTCCCCCAAAGCCCCAGTAGATAGTTGTATGTCATAGTTGCACATCCTTCTAGTTGCTGTATGTGGGACGTGGCCTCAGCATGGCCGGAGGAGCGGTGCATTGGTGCGCGCCTGGGATCCGAACCCGGGCCGCCAGTAGCGGAGCGCATGCACTTAACTGCTAAGCCACGGGGCCGGCCCTAGATCACTTTAATGGAAGTGGATCCTGAGACTGCAAGACGGACTTGAAACAAACAAAATGCTGATATCATTTGCAAACACTCATCAGTCAAGATTTTTCTCAAGACCGTGCAACAGAAGTAAAATGAACTTTGAGGTTGATATGAAACTGCAAATATCATCCATAATTCCTAATTTCAAGTTTTTGTATTAATCAAAATAGTCTCACTGATTTCAATAAGAAATGACATAAATTTGAACAAATGCTATAAATTGAAACTTATCACTTTATACTTACAAAATATCATTTACTGGTTTTATATATTAGAGGTTAGAGTAAGATGTCATTTGAAAAGAGGTTTCTATTGTGAAAAATGTTTGGAAATCATTGCTTTAAGCTACAAATTCCAATAGAATTTAAATGACTTAACATACCAATTTGGCTTTAGCTACAGATTTCCTACCTTACACAGTGATGCAATGCAACATGTTGGCTTTTCGATTCTATTAGAACTAGACTATCTGAACATTCAAATTCAAGAAATTTGCATTACTTAAGCGGGTTTTGCTTCCTTTTTGCCAATTTGATACTGGTAAAAGTATGTAAAAAAGGTTGCTTTGAAAGTAAATATAAAGGTTCCAATGATGTCTGTTTGTCCCTGGCTGATACTTACTTCCACTATAAAAATCTGACTCCTTTGTGCTTTCTATTGTTAAACAAAGGAAGAATACCGAAGAAAATGAAGCTCTGCTTGCTTTCTTCCAGCTCCAATAATTTTGAGCCTAGTGACTCCTCCTATACTACAGAACAGAATCTCTAAAGAACCTGCCAAGACAGGTGGACCCACTGAAACTATGAAACAGCAGATTTTCTCCTAATGACATACCCCAGACATCATTTGCTCAACTTTCTCCTAAATATCATTTAATTATAAAATATAAATAAATGAGGAAAGATGAATCAATGACAAATTCACTTGAAAGTCAAATTTTTGTGTGTGTCTGAGGAACATTGGCCCTGAGCTAACATCTGTTGAGGAAGACTGGCCCTGAGCTAACATCTGTGCCAATCTTGCTCTATCTTGTACGTGGACGCCACCACAGCATGGCTTGATGAGCGGTGCACAGGTCTGCGACTGGGATCTGAACCCGCGAACACTGGGCTGCCGAATTGGAGTGTGCGAACTTAACCACTATGCCACCGGGCCAGCCCCTTGAAAGTCAATTTTTCAAGGAAAATACCAGGTTATCATTCTACATAGGTCTGTAGAATGATATCTATGTTTCATTCTATAAAGCATAGATGTTCATATAAAACAGATATCAGCAAAATATGGCCCGTGGGCCAAATTGGGCTGTGAGCTAAGAATGGTTTTTACATTTTTAAAGAATTATAAAAAAAGAAAACAAAGAATATGCTTGCAAAGCCACTGAGAGAGACCAATGAATACATCCATAAGTTAAAAATTATATATTTTAATATAACAAAAATGGTGTCTATTACCTGCTCATAGTTTAAACGTTGAATTTCTGAAATTTCTTTTGGCTTTGCCTCAAGCATGTAATCTCCTGTAAAAAGAAATTGTGAAGTTGCCTTTTTAAAATATTACTTTTTTTCTGATCACAAAGGTAATAGATTTTAATTATAAATTGTACCAATAGGTGACATATAAAATTGACCCCCCGATTCCATTCAGAGAAAATCGATATTAACCGTTTGCTAAAGTCTCACATATTTTTTCAATGTACATACTGTAATCCTTTTGAACTTTCTTTTTCTTCCACTTTACAATATATGTAAGCATCATTCTATGTCACTACAATAAAGCTCTAAAAGGTTGTACCAAGTTTCATTGCTTTCAACAATATAATTATTACCTCCATTACCTTTCCAAAAATGGGTGTTACCAGTCTTCTAAATGTTTGCCATTCTGAGAAGTAAATAAAATTTTTTTGCATTTAAAAAATTGATTATCTTTTTATATATGTATTATTATTTGGTAGCATCTTTTTAATATATGTATGATGTTTAGTATATGTGGCACCTTTCAAACATATGTAGCACCACTTTACTATACATAGTACATTTTTATGTATGTTTTGCCTTTTTTATTATGTATTAACTATATATACTTCTTTTCTTTGAATTGCCTGTCTATACAAGTATCATTTTTTCTTATTGAACTATAAAAGCTCTTTTTCAATTAAAGGAATTAGAACATTTCCTGTGTGGTAAATATTTTTTTCCCATATTGGCTTCTGACCTTACAGTGATATTTTAGCTAATTTTTGCCATACAGAAATATTTAATTTTAACATAGTCAAATTCTTCTATTATAGCTTCTGGGTTGAATGTCATGTTTAGAAAGATCTTCACCTCTTAAGAGTATACAAACATTCACATATGCTTTCTTCATGTAATTTTATGTTTTACATTTGTCGTTTTTAATGTTTAAATCTTTAATTTATGTGGAATTTATTTTGATATAAAACAGTGATATATGGAACCAACTTCTCATCCAGCCTCTTAAATCACTAACAAGTTAATGAAATTGTTTTTAATATAACCTTTATTTTCTAATTCAAAATAATCTTCTAAAGAATGCATCAAGTATTCTCTTAAGCTTTTCAACTCTGATAACAAAAAGAATTCCTATGAACATCAATATATTATTATTTGTGCTTTTAATTAGAATTTCAAGATAGTAAAACCTAACTAGTAATTATTTTATTCTACATAGGTACAAGAACTCTAAAAGCACTAAATTAATTGATTCACAAAAATATATAAGCAAGTCTATTTAACAAATATTTTTGAGTCCTTACTCAAACATGGCACATTGTAGATTTATATGTTGAAGTTTTGATATAGCATTTAACTGAAAACTATCTTTGTTTTAAAGCAAATTCTATGCATTATTTACTCACATAATTGAGAATATAATTGCTGTTCTTGTATCCTATATTTAAGTTCAGTATTTATCGTGATAAAGGACTGTATATGCTTTCCTAACATTTTAGTGGGATCAGGATGCAAAATATTATATAATTCAATAATATTAAAGGACCCTGGATATACTATCATAGATTAAAGCTTAGATACTAAGACTAGAATAATTATTGGGAAAGACTCATATAAGCAACTCCTCTTTTCCTGAGACCAGGAAAAGTCTCCGGACAAGAGAAGAATAGCCTAGCTAAGGTAGGCAGCCTCTTAGATGTACCTCAATGATCCCCATCTCCTGGTATTCACACCTTTGTATAATCCCCCTCCGTTGAGTGTGGATTGGATTTATTGACTCACTTCTAGTGAATAAAATATGACAGAAGTAATGAGATGTCACTTCCGAAATTAGAATACAAAATATTGTGGCTTTTGTCATGGTGCTCCCTCATTTGTTCACTCTGAGGAAAGCCAGCTGCCACGATGTTCTGAGCTGCCTTACAGGGAGTCCCACATGGCAAGGAACTGAAGGAGGCCTCTGGCCACAGTCAGCGAGGAACTGAGGTCCTCAGTCCAACAACTTGTGAGGAACTGAATCCTGCAACAATCACGTGAGTAAGCTTGGAAGCAGATCCTCCTGAGTTGGGCCTGGAGGTGAGACTACAACCCCGGCTGACCCCCTGACTGAAACCTTATGAGAGACCTTAAGCCAGAGTCACTTAGCTAGGCTGCGCCCAGATTCCTGACCTACAGACACTGTGAGATAATAAATGTTCATTGTTTCAAGACACTAAATTGTGAGGTGATACGATATGCAGCAATAGATATCTATGTTTTTAGGAAAGTTTGCAATAAAAGAATCAGGTATTTTTAAAAGGCTGAGTTTGAGTTTCTAAGGGAGCATCTTTCAGTTTTAGATATCTAAATAAATCATCTCTTAAGAGTGCTGTTTTGTCTAGTTTATCTAACCTTTATATCTGAAATTGGTCAACAATACTATTTCAGTCAAAAAGTATTTATGGAGAGTCTATTATGTATTTAGTAATGGGTTAAAACAAATATTAAGAAATGTATGTTTCTCTTAAAAACTAATACTTCGGTTGGGCAAAGAACATACAAGAAACAGAGAATAAGATAATGATAAAGTATAACATAGTGTAAAATGTAATAAATGCCTTAAGTACCAAATGATTTTGAAAAGAGATACTGATAAAGCCTGTATCATTAGAAATATCCTTTGGAGGGGGTAGTATCTAAAGAGGATTCAGAAAAATGGGCAGAACTTGGCAAGGCAGTAAGGGAAAAAGCATTCTTTGAGGGAGAAAGAATGATGGAAAAAGCACATTTAAGAAACATCATGCCCCAGCCCTGTGGCATAGCAGTTAAGTGCGGGCGCTCTGCTGCTGGCAGCCTGGGTTCGGATCCCGAGTGTGCACTGGTGCACTGCTTGTCAGGCCATGCTGTGGCAGCATCCCATATAAAGTAGAGGAAGATGGGCACAGATGTTAGCCCAAGGCCTGTCTTCCTCAGCAAAAAGAGGAGGATTGGCATGGATGTTAGCTCAGGGCTGATCTTCCTCACGAGAAAAAAAAAAAAAAGAAACATCATGCCATATGGACAGCTTATAAGAAGGTTTAGATATAAGATTTATGTTGCAAATTTGTGGGAAATATGGTTGGACGAGTAAAATTGATCAGATTATAGAAAATCATAAATAATATGTTGATAAATTTGGCTGTTTGTAAAGGATCTTTATGTTTTTAAGTAGGCAAGTGAAGGATGAAATTGATGCTTTAGGAAGATAACACTGTTATGTAGGCTAATTTGGAGGAGAGAGGAAACAATAGAATTTGCAATAAATCATGTTGTGAAGTATCAGTATACAGAGAGAGGAAAGAATTTCAAAGAAAGAATCCATAAGACTTTGCTGCTAGTGGGATATTCCAGATGAACAGAAATCAAGAAATGAAAACCTGATGGCTACACTAGGCCATAAAGTGGAAGAGAGGGTTTGGCAGTAGTTAGCTTATCCCAGGTGAGCAATTGGAAAAGACGAGACATAGTCAACTCCGGGCAAAATTAAAATACTTCAACGCTGACCTCCCTATATAGTATTTATATTCAAAAGATAAAATAAATGATCTTTGTAAAAATCAGACAACACGGCCATCTCAACAACTATTTTCCTTACTATAATACCATGCTAGTCTCATCATCATACAAACTATTTTGGATGGTTCAAGTCATAGCATACATTCTGGTTTTGTGTTGTGCTTTTCTACATTTCTTCCTACCCATTTTCTGCCTTCCACCTACACTTTTTCCCACCTTATTTTATTAGACCTCCTAGTACTTCCTAGATATCTTAGCTTGTCATGGTCCTTTCTCTATGCCAAAGCCCTCCAACAAGCCATGTCCATATTTGGCCTTCCTCTAATACTCTAGTAACAGAAATTCCCAAATTAAAATTTATTCCTCCTTTAACCTTTGCCAATCAAAATTCTCATTCCCTTGTGGTTCCACAGCTAGGTGCTAGGAAGGCAATTAATGGTTTCTCTTACAATCTTTCTACTAGTGTTTGCTTATTGACTCAAAAGCATCTCTGGTTCCTCCAGAGAACTGCAGTAATCTCAAGGGAACATTCAAATAGCTTAGAAAACTAAACAATTTGTTCTGGCAGGATTGGCCCCAAATAAAGTTTACTTTCGGTGAGGCAGAGTCTTCAGAATCTCTTTTCTCACATCACTCTTGCTCACTTCTCCCCCACCTCCTATTAGGATCATACTTTCATGCTGCCCCTACTAGCCGAGTCCTCTCACCTAGGACTTCCATACCTCTTTAGCTACCACAGATCTAGATATTTCTTCATCAATTTTTCTTTTTCCCTATTAAAATCCTCTACCCTATGTCCTGCTTCCTCAGGGCTTTGTTAGCTAACAGATAAATTTAATATACCAAGATGTGCTAATTATTTTCTTTCCAAGAAAAATACCATGTTAATATTTTCATAGTAGAGTATACTTATGCAACCACACTGACGGCATTGTTGACATCTCTAAATAACTTGCCCACAGTACATGCTCAGTAAATATTTGCTAGATAAGAAAAAGAAAAGAAAGAAATAAAAAGACAGGTAGTGGGAATTTCAAATACTATATCAAAAACACTTTTGAGTGGTGGAGGGAGAGGGAGGGATATACTTTCGAGTATATAAGCATTCTTTAAATCACATAAGAAGGTGCCCAGTTGGAGACAGCACATTATTTAACCTCTCTGAGCTTTGGTTTTCTCGTCTGTAAAATGAAGAGGACTTACAGTTTATGATGCTTTTATTTCCACTTCAGTCTTACCCTTTTCTACTATTAACACCTCCACACTTATGCTCTCTGGCTCTGCTCATGGGTCTCTGCCACTATGACTGTATTCTTCAGTTATGGGAACTAACAGCAAAAGAGCTTATTTTGTCTTAGAAGGTAAACAGACAAAGCCATGTAGAGTGGTGGTAATAACCAGCAGGGAGGAGGTTAGGTAAATGGAATCATCCTATAACAGCAGAGAAGAGCAGAGCCAGAATGAAGTTAGAAGCTGCGGAGTGGCAGCACAGTTTAGGTTAACACCGTCCAATAGAAATATAATGCAAGCCACAAATGCAAGCCCTTATGTAACTTCAAATTTTCTGGTAGCCACACTAAAAAAAGTAAAAAGAAGGGGCCAGCCCGGTGGTGTCATGGTTAAGTTCACATGCTCCACTTTGGTGGCCCGGGGTTCGTGGGTTCGGATCCCGGGCACAGACCTACGCACTGCTCATCAAGCCATGCTGTGGTGGCGTCCCACATACAAAAGAGAGGAAGATGGGGACAGATGTTAGCTCAGGGCCAATCTTCCTCAGCAAAAAGAGGAAGATTGGCAACAGATGTTAGCTCATGGCCAATCTTCCTCACCAAAAAAAAATTAAATAAATAAATAAATAAAGTAAAAAGAAATAGGTAAAATTAATGTTAATGATATATTTTATTTACCCCAGTATATTAAAAATATCATTTCAACATATAATCAATATAAAAAATTACTATTTTATATTCTTTTTTTTGCACTAAGTCTTTCAAATCCATTATATATTTTACACTTACAGAACATCTTTCTTTTTCTTTTTTTTTTTGGTGAGGAGGATTGGCCCTGAGCTAACATCTGTGCCCATCTTCCTCTATTTTTTGTATTTGGGATGCTGCCACAGCATGGCTTGACGAGCAGCGCGTCAGTCTGCGCCCAGGATCCAAACCCGCAAACCCCAGGCTGCTGAAGCGGAGTGTGTGAACTTAACCGCTACACCACCAGGCCAGTCCCAAAACTCCTCAGTTTTAAAACTCATGCTATCACATGATACTACCATTATCCACCCACCTGGTTGCAGTCCTCTACCAACTTCTAGGTCAATCCCCCTCATTCCTAGCTCACTATCTTTCTCCAACACAAATCCTGCCATAATTTTGGTAATTTCAATATTCACAGAGATGATCTGTCCAATACCCTGGCTTTTCTGTTTTTTGACCTCTTCTCCAACAAAAATCTTGTATTCTACCTTATCTCAGAAACTCATTCCCCATGGTCATATGGCTTTGTCATTATCAGGCTCCAAAAATTCTTAAGCTCTGTTAAGGACCTATGATCCATTAATCCCATCACATTTTCCTTCAACATATTTATAACCTCATTTCCTCTTTATGCAACTTAAATTCTATGGTCCATCATTATAATCACTCTACACACACCTTCAATTCTCTAGAGTCTTTCTTCAACATACTCACTTGGCAAAAACCCAGCTCTGGCTAAATCCTGCTCCCCCAGTATTCAGGCCTATACTCATATGGCTGAATGTGACTGGGGAAATCATATCACCATGCTGGCTGGTCTCACTAACCTCAGAGGTAATGCCCAGGAATCATATTGCATCTTCCCATTCACTCTCCCACTCTTCTACACAACTATTTTATACCTTCCCTCTCATCTTCAACAACTCCTCCTTCATCCTCACTCTCAGCTGATGACCTGGTTTCCTATTTCACTGAGAAAATAAAAGCAGTTGAAAGACCCTCTATAAGCTACTACAACCACATCTACTCACCTACCTGCATCTATTTTTAATACATTCTATCTTCCCTCTTATTGCTATGGATGAACTATCTGTACTAAGACTAATTCTTCTATTTGTCTAAAGTACTCTTTACAATTCCTTTTCTCTTTTCCAAAACAGCTTTATTGAGATATAATTCACATACCATACAATTAACCCATTTAAAGTGTACAATTCAATGTTTTTAAAGTATATTAACAGGATTGTGAAATCATCATCATGATCTAACTTTAGAACATTTTTGTCCCCCCTAAAAGAAATTCTGTACTTTTTAGCAGTCAATCCCTATTCTCCCCCGCTTCCCCCAGTCCTAAGCAATCACTAACCTACTCTTTGTCGCTACACATTTGCCTATTCTGGATATTTCATATAAATGGAATCATACAATATGTGGTCTTTTGTGACTTGTCTTCTTTGACTTAGCATAATGTCTTTAAGGTTTATCCATATTATAGCATGTATCAGTACATTCCTTTTTATGGCTGAATAATATTTCATTGTATGGATATACTACATTTTGTTTATCTACTCATCAGTTGATGTATATTTGGGTTGTTTCCATTTTTTGGCTATTAAAAATAATGCCGCTATGAAAATTTCTGTACAAGTTTCTGTGTGGGCAGGTGTTTTTACTTCTCTTGGGTGAAACTGTAGAGTCATATGGTGATTCAATGTTTAACTTATTAAGGAACTGAAAAACTGTTTTCCAAAGTGGCTGCATTATGTTACATTCCTACTGGCTATGTATGAGGGTTTCCAATTTTCTCTTGCACCCACCCTAGCCAGGTTTTCATTCCATGCACTTGTCAAGGTTATCAATGACCTCCTTATGGCTCAATCACTGGTCAATTTTTTAGTCTTCATCCTGCTTGACCTAGTAGCAGCATTTGATTCAGCTAATCTCTCACTCTTCATTGAAACTCTTCTTCATTTGATTCCAGGAAATCAGTCTCCTATTTTTTTTCTGTCTGGCTGAGTACATCTGTTCTTCCTTCTTCCCCAATTTCTAAGCACCGGCATGTCGCAGACTCAGTCCATTGATCTCTTCCCTTGTCTATCTACATTCTTTCTCTTCATGATCTCACTCAGTCTAACTACCATTTATATATGTGGCCTGCTCCCAAGTGTATATTTACAGGCTAGATCTGCACTGTCCAACACATTAGTCAGTTGCTACACGTGGCTATACAAATTTAAATTAATTAAAATTAAATTTAATATTCAGTTCCTCAGTCATATTAGTTACATTTTGAGAGCTCAAGAGCCACATGTGGCTAGTGGCTACCAAATTGGACAGCACAGATATAGAACATCTCCATCTCACAGAAAGTTCTATTGTACAGTGCTGATCTAGACCTCTCCTCTGAACTCTAGATTTATATATCCAACTGCCTTCCTGATATCTCTACTTGGATGTCAATAAACATCTCAAAACCAAAATCCTGAGGCTGGCCCAGTGGCGTAGCAGGTAGCAGTTAAGTTCACGCAGTCTCCTTCGGCAGCCCGGGCTTTGGATCCTGGGCGCGGACATACGCACTGCTCATCAAGCCATGCTGAGGTGATGTCCCACATAGAAGAACTAGAAGGATGTACAACTGTGACATACAACTATCTACTGGGGCTTCGGGGAGGGAAAAAAAAAAGGAAAAATGGAAGAAGACAGGCCACAGACGTTAGCTCAGGGCCAATCTCCCTCAAAATAAAAAAAAACAAACCAAAATCCTGATATTCCTCCCAAAACATATTTTTTCCTATTTCAGTTGATGTTAACTCTATCCTTCCAGTTGTTCAAGCCAAAAACCCTGGGGTGACCCTAGACTCCCCTCTCACTCTCACACCATATTCAACTAATAAACAAATTCTGTCAGTTCTATATCCAGAAGCTGACCACATTTTATAATCTCCACTTCTACTACCCTGTTTGAGGACATCACCATCTTTTGCCAGTTACAACAGCTTCCTAACTGATCTCCCTGCTTCTATCCTTACCCCTCTAAGTTCTATTTTCAACATAACAGCCAGAGAATTCTTGTTAAATTAAAAGTCAGATCACATTAGTCCTCTGTTCAAAATCCTCTAATGGCTTCCCAACTCACTCACAGCAAAAGTCAAAGTTGCTATAACAGCCTACAGGGGCCTATATGATCTGACCCCATTACCTCTCTAATCTCATCTCCTACTACTTCCCCTTTGCATACTCTTTGGCAGTCAATTCTGGCTGTTCCTCAAAAGCACCAAACATATTTCAGCCTTCCCCATGAAATATAATTTAGAAATCACAAAGTTTAAGAATCACTAAGCTAGACTAAAAGAGGTATAAATAGAAATTCTATTTCCAGATATCTAGGTAGTCAAGCAACCTACCCATAACTATGAGGTTCCCTAGCCAGTGAATGAGATTAAATGATATTACGTACATAAAGAAAAGGATCTTCCAAAAGCTTCAATCTCAATTACTTCACTAAACCTACATCTCACAAAAAATCAGTTGGCTAGTTGTCTGGAATGGTGTAGACAAACTAATCAGTTGACAAAAATTTTTTTAAATAAAAATTTAATTACTAAAAAACTGTAAGAATATGGATTAAGATTTCCTATTTGGTAATAGCATAAATATATGAATTTTTATTTGCTAAAGTGTATAAGACCACAATGTGATATATACAACTACCTGCTCTGTAAACAAGTGCTACTCAATGCAGCTGGTCTGCAAACTGTGTATTACTACTGGTCTGTTTTGAAATAAGAAGCTTGAGTAAGAATGCAATTCAATACACTGCTTCCTTCATCAAGAAAACTCTGCTCTGAAAAAATTTCAGATGAACTAAACAATGTGCTTACTAATGTAAATGTTTTACATTCTGGTACAAGCCCCAATCTCACTGCAGACTGGTAACTAACATTTCATAGACTGGCATAGGCCCAGGAATCATACTCTGGGTTGCACCGCTCTAAATCATCTCCTGGGTCTTTAATTCAAGTCTATGTAATATTTTTTAACACTTCCTACATGCAAGGTCAGAGTTTCCATGCCATTTCTCATTCTGCAATTTATTGAAATTAATATGTATCTTGTTGTTTTCTAGATGTCACCCAGTGTCCTTATTTATATTACAGAATTTTAATGCTGGTCAGAAAGAAGGCTTCGAAGAAAGAAAGAAAGAAGGCTTTAACATCCAAGAACAGTAGCATACCGATAAAATTTTTTAATTAAGAGATTCAAATTGTAATTTTAAAATAGATTATATCACAGCACTTCAGAAAGGTGAGATTTGGTAATATATTAGCTTTGAAAACTTTGTTTTATTTTGAAAGAGATAAAAATCATCCACTTTTCAACACTAACCTAAATATTCCATCAGTTGTTCAGCAGTTATGATTTCCATCATCGGTGGAAGTTTCACCTGAAAAACAAAGTATTTTTTCTATAAAATCAAATGATTTAGGTGATTAAAGTGTTTCTTCAGTCAGAAACAAAAGTATGTATGTGCATATATGTATCTACTATATGTATACATTAACATTCACATTATTAAAACCTTTATAACTAATCTTTATAAAATATAACCAAGTTAATCCTATCACCATAAAATTTACGGGGTGATACAAGATCTCATAGAGACATTGAGAAATCCATTTTCAAAGCCAAAGTGCTATGCCTTTCATCACCCACCATGATCGTAATTAGGTACATGCAACAATGTCCTGCATGATAGAAAATGTGGTTAAAGGGCAGGAAGAGGAACCAAATGTGTTGTGACAGGTCACCCACGGAGCAGTTTTACTGAAGACCGGCTTGAATACAGCTCAATATTCCATTACTTAGTCTACGTTGGCTATTTTTATCATTGAATGGCTAAAATGAATACAGTATTAAAATATTAGTCATATACTGAAGAATTCACACTGTACAATTTCACTTGCAAAGTTTAAAAACAGGCAAAATTAAACTACATTGTTTAGAGCTGCACACTTGGTGATAAAACTATAAAGAAAAGTAAGGAAATGGATACTATAAAAACCAGGATTATGCTTAGCCCTAGGGATGAGGAATTATAGTTGGAAAGGGGCATATAAGAGGCTTCTGGGGTGCTGGCAATGCTCTATTTCTTGACTTGCATGGTAGTTCCACTGATGTTTGCTTTATAACTTGTTAAACTGGACATCTCTGGTTTATACACTTTTCTGTATGTGTTATATTTTACAACGAAAAGGTTAAAAGTAGGTACATACATTATAGTCATATTTAAGTTTATAAAGTTAATTCGGCTGCATAACACTAGTCTAAATTAATTTTTCAAATTAATTGTCATGTTGGTTACACAGATATTACAGCCAATGATTGTAAATATTTTAACTGACCTATTCAAAAGTATGCTTTGTGGTATATTCATAGAATAGGAGAAAAATAAATACTGTAGGATGGAAACTCAAACAAAGTAATATATCAATGATAGGAGAATAGCAACATAACTAAACATTCTTCTGGAATTATTTTTCAGGAATTATTTTCTGTTCAACCAAGGAAATCATTTAAATCAGCAATTTCTCCAACAATTCCCCCAAGTGTTGAAGAAGGTGCTCTGGGTGTTTGTGTTACTACATGTGGTAATCACATGTCACAATTTTTTGTTTGTTTTAATCAACAAATAAAATAAGACCTAAAAAAGATCCCTATAAAACAGAACAGTTTGAGACCCTCTGAGAGCATACATGACAGTTGATGCTTATGATCTAGTCATCCAGTGGATTTATCACTCAGTGAAAACCAAGAGATGACATGGAAGTTTTGATCATTACTTGATTCTAAATTATTTTTATTTTCTGTGACACATTTAAAAAAAAATTGTAATAGACTTCATTATTTTTTTTGAATAGTTTTAGGTTTACAGAAAATTGAGCAGAAAGTACAGAGTGTTTCCATATATGGTGTATTTTTTAACTGAAATTCATTGGCAAATCATGGTCCCCTGCCTGTTTTTCTAAATAAAGTTTTATTGGAACACAGCCATTCTCATTTGTTTATGTGTTGTCTTTGGCTGCTTTTGCACCACAACAGCAGAGATGAATCTTTGCAACAGGGACCACATGGCCCAGAAAGCCTAAAATATTTACTATCTGGTCCTTTACAGGAAAAGTTTGCTGATTTCTGCTTTAGATAATTTTAACTGTTATTATATAATATTTTATTAAGGTGTTTCAGTACCACTTTTGAAGGTCTGATATTTAACCCAGTAGTTTACATTCACTGTGAACGTTTATACTTTGAAAAACTGTCAGACCAATCTGAAAGTCCCATTCACACTAACAATGTTTCTTAAATAAAATAAGACCTATACATTATTTTATTCCAGACAGATTCACTGCAGAAATATATTCACCAGAAAATTCCATAAGCAAATAGCTTATCTTCTGCTTTGGTTAATGTAGTAGTCCTAATATAAAACTGTCAAAATAAGAAACCAAGGCACTAACAAGTAAATGTATTTGGGAAATACATTCTGCAATCCTAAATTTCTACAAACAGAGGATTTCAGGGTTTAGCCTTGAAATTTCCAAATAACAACAACTGTCTACCATGTCTTGCTTTAAACATTTGAAATAGGAAATGACTACCTCTATACTGATTTTAGAAGTGGGACAACAAATACACAAGTATCTTAACTGACTTATTCACAAGCATATTTAGTGGTATATTCATTTCCTGAATCTTAGCCAATAAAATACTCTGGATGTTCATTAAAACTAGAGACAAAAGAGTATAACAGTGAAGAAATGCCTGCCTCCCACTAATACTTTGGAGCCATCAACAGATCTTAATTTTTTTTTTCTTTTTTTTTTGCAGGGTAAGATCCGCCCTGAGCTGACATCTGTTGCCAATCTTCCTCTTTTTTTTCCTTCTCCCCCAAACCCCAGTGCATGGTTCTATATCCTAGTTGTAAGTCCTTCTAGTTCTTCTATGTGAGCCGCAGCCATAGCACAGAAACTGACAAACAGGTGGTGTGGTTCTGCGACCAGGAAATGAACCCGGGCCACTGAGGCAGAGAGTGCAGATCTTTAACCACTGGACCATCAGAGCTGGCTCTTAATTTTTTTTTAAACCACAAAATGATCTTCCTGAAAGCTTGCTTCTCTTTTTGCTTTCCTCTACCACCATCACCTCAAAGGTTTTGTTAATGATCCTAAGACTTTTACTCCTTTGTCTCTTTAGATTTTATTAAAGAAGAAACAGCTTATGGGATAGCTAGCTAAGAATATAGAATTAAAAACTGTGGCATTCTATCTGAATTTCTTAATTTTAAATGTTACAATTAAAAAAAATGAAGCGTGACCTAGGTTCTCAGGTGGTACTCTTTTAGTAATAATCTATAACATATTGTTTATAAGTAAATGAGTACTTTAATGTATACAAGGGTACTTGAAAGGTACTCTCCAGGGGCCGGCCCCGTGGCTTAGCGGTTGGGTGCGTGCGCTCCGCTGCTGGCGGCCCGGGTTCGGATCCCGGGCGAGCACCGACACACCGCTTCTCCGGCCATGCTGAGGCCGCGTCCCACATACAGCAACTAGAATGGATGTGCAACTACGACATACAACTATCTACTGGGGCCTTGGGGGAAAAATAAATAAATAAAATCTTTAAAAAAAAAAAAAAAAGAAAGGTACTCTCTTAAGTAGTTTAAATATTCTTCCTAAAATGTCAGCAAAGCCTCTAAATTAACTATGTGCTAATTTAGACGTATTAACACATAGTGCCAAATTAATAGTGTCTAAATAAAATGACGTTTTTATTATCTAGGAAAATAAATTTTGTCCTATACTACAAATAAGATTTTATTGTATTGACTAGATTTCCTGAGCAAATTAATAATATAAGCACAGCAAGAATATTTAAATTAACAAAAGGAAATAGCTACTCTAACTCCAACTATTCAACTATAGGGTAAAACCTCAAGAATTCAGCCCAGTTATTCTGTAATTCTTAGCCATATGAAGAGTGAAGTGTATTTGAGAATAGACTCAAGCGAGGCCAAAAATTAAAACAAAACTTCTCTTTAAAGTGTTGATAAAATCTTAAACAGGAATATAAAACATGCCAAAAGCGATATGCCAAGATTTTGATACCTATGATTTGATATTCTAAGGGGGGAGAGAAATGCAAGGGACTGAGTAATAACTAAGAAATAAGAAGTAGTTTATATAGGTGATGGTAAGTACAAAAATGACCTGCCAAAGAATATTATTAAACATTTAATTAGAATGTCAATTAATAAGTACTCAAGAAATACACAATTCGAATTCTAATATCTCTTTAATGTTAGGGAGATACTTGAGGAGATAAAAAAATGAATATTTGTCAGTCTCTGCTCTTTAGGAAAGTCAAGAAAAAACTTCTACTAATTGCCATTCAATTTGCATGTTACCTTTAATCCACAACAATACTATGAAGCAGGCATTATTATCTTCATTCAAAGAAGGTAATAAGGCATTAAAAAGTTAATTTGTCCAAAGTAGCAGAGATGTGACGTAAGCTGAGATCTGAGTCCAAAGTCAATTACCCTTTCCATTATACCAGTATTTACAGACTTTTAAAAACAGCAAAATATGGGGCTGGCCTGGTGGCGCAAGCGGTTAAGTGTGCTTGCTCCGCTGCGGCGGCCCAGGGTTCGCCAGTTCGGATCTGGGGCGCGCACCGACGCACTGCTTGGCAAGCCATGCCGTGGCGGCGTCCCATATAAAGTGGAGGAAGATGGGCACGGATATTAGCCCAGGGCCAGTCTTCCTCAGAAAAAAAAAAAAAAAACAGCAAAATACTTTCAGTGAAATCTTATGTAAAACATCATCTGAAATATATTTTAAATGAAGAATTGACAGAACTTTGTGACCAATGAAAAGTGGAAGATGGAGAGGATGATGGAACTCAGGAGACAATCATTCTTAATTTGTACATGAATTATTTGATTCCGGTGCTGCAGTCTATTTTTGCATTACTTATGATAAAATGGACCAACTAAATAATGTAATTTCTTCTTAGTTCAAATTTCACTAATTTTGAATATGCAGTAAATCATATAGTATTCACGATTTTTTTAGTTGAAATTATAAAGAAATCACTTTTTTGAAAATATTTAAAGTATTATTAATGGGAATCAAAGGGAAGAAATATAGCTTTTTTTCAAAATAAAGACTAAAAAATCTGGGGCTGGCCCGGTGGCACAAGCGGTTAAGTGCATGCGCTCTGCTGCAGCGGCCCGGGGTTCGCAGGTTCGGATCCCGGGCGCGCACTGATGCACCGCTTGTCAAGCCATGCTGCGGCAGCGTCCCATATAAAGTGGAGGAAGATGGGCACGGATGTTAGCCCAGGGCCAGTCTTCCTCAGCAAAAACGAGGAGGATTGGCAGATGTT